TAAACGCTAAACCCCAAACCCTGAACCCTAGACTCTAAACCCTAAACCCCAATAATGAAGGAGCCCTCAAAGGAGCCCAGGATTATGAACCCTAAACCCTAAACCCTGAACCCTAAACCCTGAACCCCGAACCTTAAACCCCAAACCCTAAACCCTAAACCTGAACCCTAATCCCTGAACCCTGAACCCTAAACCCCAAACCCTAAACCCTAAACCCTAATCGTTAAACCCCAAAACCCTAAACCCTAAACCCTAATCCTCAAGTAAACCCTGACCGTCTTCTCAGCTCCAGGAGGTTCCCTGGGACGCAGAGGAGGAGAACAGTTCAAACTTTCTTTGGGCTTTGTCTTACCATGTATCGGGCTTAGGGTTTAGGGTTTAGGGTTTAGGCTGCAGCCATGGAGCCCTAGATACAGCTAGGGCTTCTTTGTATGATCTGCGGTTCTCCCGAGACCAGAAAAGCTTTTTACCCAGTCACTTGGATGTGGCGCCTTGTTTTGCAAATAACTTGTTTTAGGAGGGTAATTACAATGATTTTTCTGAATCCTAAACCAAAGCCCGAAGACTCTGTGTGCATCGCAGGAAACTGGCCCCGTGTATGCAACGCTGTTTGCGCTGCTAGCGCGGGAAGCGGAGCTGCTGGACAGAAGCTGGGGCAGGGCTTGGGCTGGAGATGTGTACAGTAGAAGCCCAAAAGTTGGAAACCCAATAGCTTCAATCCTTAAGATATAGGGAATCCCAGCACTAATTGTCCTTAATCCGGTTTCCAACTTTTTGGGGTTTTTAAAGGCTTAAGGGGTTTAGTGTTGCAGGTTTCGGTTTTAAGTCTGTCTGTGTGCTGTGATCCTCACCTTCAAGCCCTTACGTGATGCAGAGTTTAAGGGGTGACTGCTTGTGGTTTGCGGGCTCGCAGCTAGGAGTTTGTGCATCTCTGGCCAGTTTGTTGGGCGATATGTTCGGTTGGCAATGTTCCCTAAGGGTCCAAGTGCCCAAATAGTAGGGTTTCAAGGTCCAAAAACCATTCAGAGTATGGATTTTGGGACCTGAAACCTTACTATTTGGGTACTCGGACCCTCTGGGGTTTAGTGTTTTCGCATGTATCCCACCGCTCGGATATGTTGCCCGAGGTCCAGTCTGCATGGAGGCGACAGAGGAGGAGCCAGACGAAACCAACGAAGATCGTAGGGGTAAGTATCTTAATGATGATGAGGAGGAGGATGAGGAGGAGGATGAGAAGGAGGAGGAGGAGG